CTAGTGGAACCCAGCTGGAATTTGGCTGGAGACTGGACGTAGCCCTGGGATTGGGTGAACCAGTATAAACCTTGGTGATATCTTTCTAAACCTTTCTTTTCTTTAATTCTGTTGCTACATTTATTTTTTGATTGCTTGTTGTGTGATTCAAGAACAGATCTGAAATCTTAATTTTTGAAATAGATAATTTGTTAATTGCGAAAATCTTTCAAAGATCAATTCACCCCCCCTCTTGATCTCAGCCTCTTTTTCTAACATCACTAACTTTTCCATGATATACGATAAAAGGGGCCAAATTTGACTCAAAGTGAAATCGGGTCAACAAAAATTTCAGGTAAGCTCGATAACTAGCCTCGTCAGAGGATTTTTGGTGAGGATGTCGAGATGATAATCGAGCGCCTTCTAAATTTAAACTTGGGAAAATTTTGGATGTTGGGGGAAGGATGCTTTCAAAGATCGAAGTAAGCCATAATTGAACAAACCAGATGGGACCCGAGAAATTCCCTGAGGGTCTTGGGGTATTCAAAATGTTGACGGCCTCATCGAAAGTAGTATAAACATGGGCCAATAAAAGCTTTGTCAAACAAACTCTGGGCTGACCAATATGGAGGAGATAGGCAAGATTATAGAAGTGGGACGAGATTTGGATGGATCGGGGGCAAAATACGTGGGTACATAGCCAATATACCAGAAAAGCCACATGCTCCTCGTTAGAAACAGCTACCGATTGATCATCGACAAAATGTTTTTCGATGAAATGTCCATAAGCTTTCGATTCCCAATCGATTTTTGATCTTAGAGAATCATCTGAGGGGAAAGCACCCTTAAAATATTTCTCCCCTGTGGGTTTTAGTCCGGTGATTGCAGCAACTTCAAAAAGAGTGGGAGAAAGGGGACCGCAGGGAAGCTCCATTGCATGTAGATCTTTATTCCACAAATGGACCGCGGATAGAAACATGGACATATCCAAGAACGATAGATCACATCAAGATAAATGTAGAAAATCGAAGATCCCTACATCTCTCCAGTGATTCCCAAATTTGGTCTTTACTCGATCGAACCATCTAATGTACAAAGGCTTTTTGTGGGGAGGGCCCGTTCGATATACTTTTGAAACAGCATTTAGGAAATCAATTCGGACCTTAGATTTGTGAATAAGGGCTTTACTTTCTGAGGGAAGGCTGAGGGAAGAAGAAAATGACCCTCCACAGTAGCGGATGGGACCACCAAACGCATAATCTATATTATCAACGGCGTAAGGAATAAGTACCTGAGTCTCGGCAATCTTCTACGAAGCCTCTTCCATCAAAGGGACTGGAGCAAACCTTTTTCCATTAATCTCTATCAGAGTTGAAGTTACCGAGGAAAGTGGTGGGGTGGAGAAGTCGGAGGATTTGGAAGTCGCCATTACAATTTGTGGAAAGGTTGAAGACAAAGAAGAGGTGCAACAAAGAAGAAGTAGGTGAGGTTCGTGGTAAAAAATAAGGGTAAAAATTTGATAAGAGTATTTAAAGAGGCTGACTAGGGTATTTGAAACGACGAATGTGAAGAGGGTAATTAATACGTGGCGTGCGCGTGGTGACAGTAGAGATGATGTGATTTGATATTTGACATAAAGCAGAAAAAACCCTAAAAAACCCCAGAAACCCTAAACCCTAAAAAGTTATTTCAGGCTTCAAGAACGTTTAAGGGCAGGAGTTATTTTTGAAAGAATATAAAATTGATACAAATATTTATATTCTTTCAAGGGGGCATTTTGTTAGTGAAAAATCGATACAAGGATCGAAAAACAGAAGAGAGAAAATCGAAGATCATATGATTGGTGGTTAAAAAGTTGATAAATCGGAAAGATGGTTGGAAGACACTCGGTGACCACGAGATAGTATGAACATATAAATCGAGAATGGAAATCGAGAATCAGAAAAGAGAGAAACAAATCGATGAAAGTAATGATAAAGTATAGTGTAAAGTCAAGGTTAAGGGAAATCGTACTTAATAACTGGAATCGAGATCGAGGGAAACGGTTATCATGCATATGGAACATGAGGAGTGGCTTTTCAAATCGTGGCTAAGGTTAGAAATCGAGGAACGGTTAAAATGCACATGGAACGTGGAAGCGGTTTTCTACACCGTAAGCTAAGGTAAAAATCGAGGAACGTGCACATGGAACGTGGGGAGTTTTTTAACTGTTCTTGGGAGGTTACATTGAAGGATGCCTATAAATAGAACAAAGCCTGAAGAAGAAAGGAAAATTGGCAGAGACAACAGAAACACAAGTGAAAAGTCTACCGAAGAACGACGAATCATGAAGTTTCTGGCGATCTGAATTTCCATTCTCATTGATTGTTTTTACCGCTTTCTTTACTTTCCCTGGTAACTTATTTACATTCATCAATCTAAGTTCTTGTACTCTAAATTTTGTCATTTACCTTCGATGCAATATAAGATTTTGTACTTACATTCTCCTGCATTTACTGTTTTTGCAATTTTGATTTCCTGTTATTTACATTTCTGCAATTTCAATTCCTTGCCATTTTACATTTGAAGCAATTTGAGGTTTCCGCATTTTTATATTTTTTCTGCAATTTGACATTCTGCACTGTTTCTTCGATTCGATATTTTCCTTTTTATTGTTGTCTTTACTTCGAGTTTTTTTAATACAAAATATCAAAAAATAGTACTTTCGATTGTCAATCAGCACGCTAGGTTGCGTCGTTAGCGTTTCTTGATATTATGGGATTTTCGATTCTCATACGCGATTTGATTGAAAATTGTTGCTAGTCTAAGTAAAAAGAATCTACGTTATCGAAATTTGATCAGAACCTAAGAAATCGAAATCGAAATCGATCAAATTTTCACCAGAAACAGATAGATTATTATAATATATTAGAAATTGAAATATATTAATTCAACGTTGTAAAAGGAGGGTTTTATTTCAATTATGTATTATAATTTTGTTATCTCTTATCTATTATTAATACGAAATTAAAGTCTATCTTAACAATTTATTAGTATATCACTTCACTCGTAATTGAATCTTCTTAATATAAATACGTCTATTGAAAATCTTAGATAGACTAACATATAATTAAATTATAATATATAATTGAAGTAATAATGATTTTATGAAAATGAATTAGATTTTTAATAAAAACCAAAATGATGAAGATTATGGATAGAATTATGACCGGAGACATTATCATCTTTTAATTTAGGATTTAATCTCTCAATTATAAGAAAAATTTGTAAAAGAAAGGGTGAACTAGTTTTTTTGTTTTTGTTTTTTTTTTTTAATAGATCAGTGAAGTTTGCATATACATGTTTTAGTGCTTGGAAGCAAGAAACACGCAATAACATTAATTAAAAGGGAATCCGAGATTGAGATTGTTGAGTTATGCGTCGATCGGCAGATATAACTAAGAATTGACCTGTCTCTAGTCTTTTGATTTCCTTTACACTTTGTATGAGAGTTTGATTAATTGAAGCGGTCAAATACTAAAACTTGGACTGCAAACCAAATTCTTATCACTAAGCACGAGTAATACCTATTATTGACATTACATTTAGTAACGTACACAAATAAATATAAATTTCTAAAATATTTAGTAGTATATTATATTGCATTAAAAAAAATCAAGTTTACTGAAATTTACTGTTCTTTTTCTAACTAATGACAATGAATGGTTAAAATTTTGAATTAATTAATCTTGTTACAACTTGAATTGAATACTATATTATTAATTTAATTTTTTTACTTTGATTACGATATTTATTATATTTTAAAGTTATTAATTAAATTATTTATTTACGATAATTATTATATGTTTTAAAATTATATTTTATAATTTAACTATTAATGTTATATCTTTTCGTTTTAAACAAATTTAAAAGAACATCTCGTTATCAAAATAAGTATATTATTATTGTATAATGCAAATGATTTAATTTTTTTATCAACTCATGGAATTTTACTTTTTCCTATGTAATATATATATATATATATATATATATATATATATATATATATATATATATATATATATATATATATATATGATAGATAGTTTATTCATTAATTTTATTTTAGTAATTGATTTCAGTTTTACCAAAAATCTATAAAGTCCTTATAGTTCAGAGGATTAAATTTTTAAAAAATTATATGTTTACATATATAATAGGTTATTTCTTAATTAATAATTAAAATGAAATATTATAAATTTTTTTCAATTTAAACACATTTATCAAATCATTTAGTCTTTAACCACTGTTTGTTATAAAACTAGTTTTATTATCCGCCCAATGCACGGTATATATATATATATATATATATATATATATATATATATATATATATATATATATATATATATTAATAATTAATAATATAAATTAACTAATTTGAGAGTTATAAATATTAATGTTTTTTGTGTACGTATAATATATTATTGAGTAAGGAGTTTATAATCTATTTAACCAGAGAAGAGATTTACTTTAAGAATATTATTATTATCGTTATTTTCTTATAATTTATAATTAAGATGAATAATTATTTTATATTACTGAATTAAAAGTTGATTTATAAAAGTGTAGACAAGTTTCTAATTTTTAATGAGTAACTCTTTCTCTCTCTCTTTTTTTTGGTAGAATTAATATTAACGCGCTATAATAACTGCCCAGAAAATCTATACCACAAACAACTTTGTCCAAAATAATGTTATATATTGGGCAAGACTGTTACAACGACATGAGAATACATGAAAGTTTATTAAGAAGATATATTTAATAATTATTGAGTTTAAGAGACATAAAACTTTAATAATTTGAAGACTAAAATCGTAAATTACATATAACTCTTAAAAAACTCTCTTGAAAATGATAAAAAAAAAAAAGAAATTATAAATGTAACAGAGACATGAAATTAAGTTGTTGATAAATGCTTTTGCTAATTAATTAACTAGCACTGAAGTTGCCTTATGCTGTGTTTGGAAACACGCTTAAACGATGGCGCCATAACGGATTTCCCACGACGCCAGAGAGTGTTGTTCCAAACATAATTTATGAATGAATGGGATCTGGAAGCGATGGTGGTGCTGGGCCTCGTAAAATTGACCAAAAGAGAGGCCCATTTTGCCCATCACCTTGTGATGATAATGGTCTGCAGGATGCTCCCAATTGAGGAGAGACAACTAGAATGATGAAGATGACGAAAAACAGAAGTTGGAGGAGGGTTTTGTTGTGTGAGAAAGCCATGAAATGAAGGTGTTCAATTGGTAAAAGAAACTACACAAAAACAAAATGCAGTGATTGTCTTTTTTGGGTTAAGAAAATGTAATTAGAAATTTGGGGAAGTAGAATGATTGAATATTTTGTTAGGTTGTGAGGGGATGATGTGAAATTAACACAAAATTTGTTTATTATATAGACAGTGCATTGAAAAGTGGTTGGTTGACTGAACATGGTTCCTTGCTTTGAAGGGTTGAAAATTTGGAAACAGGATTGATTCAACAAATCACACATACTGACTTGGACTAATGAAAAATCTATTTATACCAAAATATTAATTTGCTATTTTAAACTTGGATGGGTAAGAGTGATTTTTATTACAGTTGTTAATTTAATTATATTTTAAGAGATAATTATTTTTTATAAAATTTCAATAAAAATAAGTCATGAGATAAATCTTTATTTATTAATATTTATAAATATATGAAGTTTACAAATTTATATTATTTCTATATTAGAAATAATTATTAAAATTGATAAATATATTTTTTTAAAAGATATTGATTTATTATTAGTACTTGTCTTCTATCTTAATATCTCAATGTACTTAGGTTGTTATTTTAGTTGCAACATATACAAAAGATAACAATAGAAAAATGATAACAATTATTATATAAAATAGGATCGGTGTGTAATTAAAAATAAAATAATAAGAACAAGTACATAATTAGAAATAAATAAATAAATAAATACAAAACATTAAAAATGAATAATTATAAATATAATAGAATAAATAGAACGAGATAAGAAACATCTCATTACAGAACTGTAGGTAAAAATAAATAAGCATAATAATAAATATTTTATTCCACATCTTATTAATTGGACATACTGAGAATTTAATAAAGGTTGTCTCTTTCTCTCTCTACTTTTCTTCCACTTCTTTTCTTCCCCTTCCCTTGCTCACTTCTCTTCTCTTCCATCCTTTTTTCCCTTTTCCATAACTCTTATTTTTCTTTTAATAATCAATAATTAATTAACTAATTTTATTTTAATAATAATTTTTTTTAAATTATGATAATTATTTTAATAATTTTTTATAATAGTTCTTTTATTATAAAAATATTTGAATTATTCAAAATATTATAATTTAATACATTGTATTTAAAAAATTTACATGATAAATTTTGAGTTATAGATCCAAATAATATATTATTATTAAATAATAAATAAATAAATAAAAGAATATAAAAAATAAAGATAAAATTATAAATATTCAAATTGATATATTTAATAATTATTAAATGTAAGATATTAAAAATCTCAACATTTAACCTAAATATCATATATATTAAAAAATCTAAGTGTTGAATATATTATTAAAAGTATATTCATTAACATCTCAAATATTAGGTCGATAATATCTAATAAAAAAATGAAAAATATAGATATTATATATAATATGATGCGATAAAAAAATTATAAATATTATTTTAGATCTTTAAAAACAAAAATATCCTTATATATCACCATATTATTTTTATGCATGAAAATATTAATTTACCTTGGTTATTCTTTTGCTTCATATTAATCAACCAATAAAAAACCATTTGACTGAATTTCGTATGCATTTGTGCCTAAAAATATATTTCTTTTACCTCTAGAGATATCACTAACATAAATTATGTTACGAAACAATTAGGAAACATTGAAGATCGGATGTTAAAATTCGAGTCATTATACTATATATAATCTAGAAAACAGGTTGTAAAAAAAAACATTTTAAATAAATAATAATGTGTTCAACTCTCTTTTTTTTTTTTTTCTATTATGTCTTTATGTTAACAATATATTTCCTTGGCGAATACAATTTAAAATCAATATTTGAATGACAAGCTTTTAGATGGTAAATTTTTGTATAGTGAATTAAAAATACTTTTATTTTATAATAAAATGTGTTGATTAGATGAAGTTTTTAAAAAAAAAAATTTGAGAATTTATCATAATAATTTATTGATTGGAATGTGAAATTTTAAATTTCATTTTAAAATTACAAATTTTTATAATCTCTTCTTTTCGACTTGACATTAATCAGATCTCATTAAATCGACATGGATTAATTTTGGTTGAGATGTCATCAACAATTGATTGAATTATTTTTTAATAATGTTGATCAAATTTTTTTATGACATCACTAAAACTATTTTTTAGTAGATATAAATACAAATTTATTAGTCAATATAAATAAAGATTTTTTAATCAATGTTGATAAAATTGTTTCTTATTACTATATTTTATTTTTTTTATAGTTATCAAAGTATTTTTCACTTAATGCATGATTTTTTTATTGATATTCGTAGATCTATTTGTGCATGAACTATTACTTAATATTAAATTTTTTATTTAATAATAATTAAAATATTCATTGAAAGAGAAAAATTAAAATTTAATAAATTTAAATTATCTTATCAAAACTAAACATTTGAAAAATAAAATACTTTCTATAAAATAAATTCATATAATATATTTTAATTATCTTGAAACTGTGAAATTATATGTCCAAGCAAATATATTGTAATCTTTTTTAAAGGAAATTGAATTTTTCTACTTGGGAAGTTAACGACATAGAATTCCTTATTCTTCTTCAAACATAAATTATGCAAAAATGAAATAAATTAACCAAATTCGTGTGATTACTAAAAAAAGAAAAATTGATCTAATAAGATAAAGGATTAAAATGATTTATTTATTTATTTATTGAAAACACTAAACTAAAACCTAAAGTATATAAGAGATTAAAATTCAATTTTATCAACTTGTAATGAATAAAACGCAATTCTTTTTAGTCAGATTTTGTATAATAAGGCTAGTACAATTTCATGAAAAAAATGTATCAATACATCTCTAATATTTTTTATATTGATTACTTACCAAGTTAACTAGCTTTTGGGTTTGGATTTAGTTCTTAAAATAAAAGTTATCTTTCATTTATATTCTAATTTAAGTATAATACTAAATGGGCCATATTCTAAGCCGCACGATCTCATTCATGTTTCTCATAGAATATTTTTTATCAACGATAAAAATAACTTAACGTGAAACTAAACATTAGGAAAAAGTAAATAACATTTTGCATTATGAAAAAAAAAAGTCATATTCTACCATAGAAAAAAATGGCTTACATTAGACCTCCTAAGACCATATATTTAGTGATGAAAACAAAGAATGTTTTGTTTTTGGTAAAAGTTAGTCGAAGGTAGAGAGGAAAATTAGCTATGGCTGGCTGAGGATTGAAGATGAATTTTTGGAGTGTAGAAAAGACGCGTGGGTGGAACGGCAAAACTGGTCATACCGAGAGAGGAATTCAAATAAAAAAGCAGAGAAAAAGTACTTGGTTGATTCAGAATTAACATAAGGAAGTATGAAAGAAAAGGGATGATCATGAACATGAATATCATCACTTTGTTTCTTATTCTTTGAATATGGTTGATTCTTCTATTTCTTATATTATTCATACTTTAGAAGAATAATAATAATAAAAAGAGGAAGAAAAGAATAATGATGATGATGTGATGATAATTAAAAAAAAGAATTGTCTAATTGAGAGAATATTATTAAAGTTAGTAAGATTTGAAAAAAATTAAAATTAAAATGATAATGATAATTTAATATTAATTACATTATTTTTAATATAAATTAAAAGAAGATTAAAAGTATATTTTAACCATAAGTAATTATCTAATGTCAAATGACAAGACATATGTCGTTTCTTATAGAATATCACCAATTATAATTAGAATTAACATTAATGTTGAAGTGTTATTGATTTATTCTTTAAAATGTATTATTTTTGTTGGCAAAAAACTTTAATAACTTTTTTTACTGTTATTTAACAAATAAAAAAAATATATAACAATATTATCTGAATAAATAAATAAATATATTATTTATTGTACGTATTGTTATTTGTAGTTTTCTTCATCTAAAAGGTATCACTTTTATTAACAAAATAACTTAATAAATGTTTTGCTGTTTTAAAAAAAATAAAAATTAAAAGAACAGAATATTAATTCTAAAATACGTTTTAAAAAGTAAAAGAGTTATTGTCTTCATTATTTAATTATAAAGAATAAAAATTATAACAACAAGAGATGGACAAGGGTATCAACAATAAAATAGAAAATTACTTTCTTCTATGTAAAATTGGAAGAAAATGAAGATAAGCGACTTTTTTTTATAAATAATACTATTTTTAAAAATATTTCCCAAAATAGCACATCCTGGAACATTATTTACACAACTAGCACTTTTTATTGTTCACGTATTAAAATAATCGATTATTTTATATTATGATCGATTATTTCGTGCAATCAACTCTCGCTCAAGTGAAGAAACCCTTTGCTTGAGCGAAGAAATCTGTAACAAAGGGGTAATCTCGGGTCAATTCTCGCTCAAGCGAAGAAACCCTTCGCTTGAGCGAGGAAATCTGTAACAAAGGGGTAATCTCCGGTCAATTCTCGCTCAAGCGACGGGTATTTTCGCTTGAGTGAGAAGTGATTAAAAAATGTGGTGACCCAAGTTGCGTTATGTGGCTAACTGCGTTGGACGTTTAGCCACATAATGCAACTTGGGTCACCACATATTTCAATCACTTCTCGCTCAAGCGAAAGTACCCGTCGCTTGAGCGAGAATTGACCCGAGATTTTAGATAGCGGTTCTAGAACTAACCGCTATTAAAAGTATATTTTAGATAGCGGTTAACGTGGAACCACTATTATATGTTTACTTTTAAGAGCGGTTAAAATATTAACCGCTCTTAAAAGTGACAGATATATGATATTAAAAGTGACACATATATGATAGCGATTCCACTTTAACCGCTCTTAAAAGTGAACACATAATAGCGGTTCCACGTTAACCGCTATCTAATCGATCATATTTTTAAAATAATCGAATATACAAAATTATGATCGATTATTTCTCTCTCGCTCAAGCGAAGAAACTTCGCTTAAGCGAGGAGACCTGTAACAAATGGGTAATCTCGGGTCAATTCTCGCTCAAGCGACGGGTACTTTCGCTTGAGCGAGAAGTGATTGAAATATGTGGTGACCCAAGTTGCATTATGTGGTTAACTGCGTTGGACGTTTAGCTTGTGGTCAATTCTCGCTCAAGCTTCCAGATACCTATAATATGTAAAGAAACAAAGAAAAGAAACTAGAACAATCAAACCCAGATTATGAGGCTCCTGCAGAATGAGTTTCTTCAAAACTTTTCACAAAACTTTCTAAGTTATTTTAACTGATAACAACAAGTTTTAATCGATTAAAACAGTTAGCAAAAAGTTCCTTAAATAACCTTTGACTTCATCAAACCCACAAGATCTTTGTTTTATCAAATGATTCAATAAGATCTTCATCACTTTCAATTAATTGAAAAACTCCTAAGTTTCATACATTGAGACATTTCTTAACTAACACAATCTAATGATGCAAAGTAGATGCACGTGCAACATTGGGACATGTTCTTCTGCTATGACTAGGGGTATGACAATATGAACATTTTTTAATCCTACTTTGATTTTCTGTAATGTCCATCTCAATTCTTATACGACTTGATTTTGGTCGGCCCTTTGAAGTTCTTTTCATTTCTGGATTTGCACACAAAGTAGGTCCTGTGTATGTTGGCCAATATTTTTCATTTCGCAATAACCCAAATTGTGTTCCGTATACCTTTGAAACTTGTTATAAGGTATACACTGAATTAATATAGTTGTTGAAGTCATGGTGTGCATGCTTGCATGCAGCAAGAACATGTGAATAAGGCATGTGAAATTTTTGGAATTTCCCACAGTCACACCATAACTCATCAAGGTGAACTGCAAACTTCCCTACTGGTCGAACTTCATGCAGGTTTTGTGTTTCTTCTACTACAAATTTTTTGGTACACTTGTCAAAAGTTATGACCCTATGCGTGTTTGCCTGTGTTTGTGCTTCCTCTAAATTTGTGACCAAAATTTTAGAGTATACATGACCAGCATTGATCATGGCATCTATTTGCCTCCCTCTTTCAATGAAAAATTTGTTGCAGCGGGTGTACGTTGCGTTGACCATGGAGCAAATAGGTAGATTTCTTGTTTTTTTCAAAACAGAGTTGATAGACTCTGCTATGTTGGTCGTCATGTGGCCCCAACGTCGTCCATTGTCCCATGCAAGTGCCCATTTTTCTCTAGGTATCTCATCCAACCAATTAGCTGCTTTTATGTCACATTGCCTCAAGATGTTGTAATAATAGTAGAATCATGGTTCAGTCATCCCATACGCTACAACAATATTAAAAAAACATAGTTAATATAAATATTTATTAGCAACAATTAAATAATGAATAAATTGTAACAAATTTGAAGTAAAGGAATTGCCCATATTTACAACATCTTTCCTCAGTGCGGTGTTTTTGAAACATCTCATAAAATTCTGTGCAATGTGTCTAATGCAGTAGACATGCATTGAATTATTTTCTGTCCATCCGCTTCCATTTCTCATGTATGCACTTCTAATGGATTCATGTCGGTCTGATATGAGGCATAATCCTTGCTGGGGTGTGACATATCTTTGAAGGTTTTTTAAGAAAAAAAAACAGGCATCACTTGTTTCACCTTCAACCACTGCAAACGCA